TATATTTATGCTGATAAATAAATAAAGGGAGACTAGTATAGATCTATTTCAAGCTATTTAGCTCTCATCAGCTAGCCACACCCTTGTGGGTTCGATTCCCAACAAGGGTGTGGCTAGCTGATGAGAGCTAAATAGCTTGAAATAGATCTATACTAGTCTCCCTTTATTTATTTATCAGCATAAATATAACATATATATGTATATGTATATATGTATGTTTTTGTGTGCAATGAAGCTTGTTAACAGTCATTTAAAACAAAGAATAAGTTGTTTTGGTCAGTAATCATACAGAATAACATGTAGTAAATTTTTACTACAAACCAAACTGAAAAATTTTACTAATGAAAACATCCATTTATGCAGTTAAGTGGAAAAAGATTTTTAACATTCTTTGTTAATAGTATTATGTTAACTTTAAGGGTTTGGTTAAGTTACTGAAAGGGTTTGTGATTATATAAGAATTAATATGCAGCAGACTATGGAGAAAATAATCACTTCTTGTAAATAATCAACTTGTAAAATTATAGATAGCACTATTTTTCCTTATATTAAAAGAAAAATAGTGCTATCTCTAATTTTACAAGTTGAATGAAAATCCATTCAAAGCCACAATTTGGCAGTGTGCTTTGGACTAGTGGTCCATTCACTTTGAAGAAAATGCACAAGGATATAAGATAATGTTTGGGGGGGTGGGGTTATTGGCAAGGAATGAAATATCTTGAGTTAAATCTTCCTGCATGGTAGAATTCTAATTTTAACATTTTATTTTCTGCATTCTGTTTTAAGCTTGACCAGGAATGTCCCTATCTTCGTTTGCACTTTGGCCTACCCAACTGTGCCTTGCCCCCTCCATGTGTTTGAACCAAGATATAGATTGATGATTCGAAGAAGTATAGAAACTGGAACAAAGCAATTTGGGATGTGTGTACAAGACCCCCAAAATGGGTAGGTTTATAATCACAGTCACGAAACCAAAATGTATAAAATAATTTTTTTAATCTGGCCATTGACAACAGTATCCCTTTCTTGTAGATTTGCAGATTATGGCTGCATGCTGTTCATTAGAAATCTTGACTATCTGCCAGATGGGCGATCGGTTGTCGACACAATTGGATTAAAGAGATTCCGAGTTATTCGAAGAGGGATGAAGGATGGTTATTGCACTGCAGACATTGAGGATTTAGAAGACATAAAGGTACATAAAACATCTATTTTTGCCTCTACAAGAAGACACCTTGACTATTGTAGCCCTACTCCAATGTGCAGCGTTCCCTTAATTTGATAGGAGGAAGGGAGGGATTCTTTCAGTAATTCTGTACAGTGCATAGAATTACATTTAGATCCCACGTTAGTAAATTATTAATTTAATTTTTTTGTTTATAGAAGCCAGAGGTTCTTAAATATTTTGGGCCATGGATCCCTTTGAAGATTTGTGAAAGACACAGACATCTCAGAAACATGTATTTAAATAAATATAAAATGCATAAATATAGAACATATTGCAAAGGAAACTAATTATGCTCAAATACAGTTATCAAAATATTAACAAATATGTAATATAGTAATTATGTGCTGCTTGATCAAGTATCCTTTTTTTAGGATAAAATAATTTTTGATGGTGAGATTTATTGAACACTTTTGGAGTCTAAAGGCCATACATTATTTTGTTGCCTACATATATTTTGGGATTAAAAGCTACATTTCAGTTAAAGAAAATGGAGGAAAAAATAAACCTGCTTAGTCAAAATCATGAAAGTGAACAGCATCGTCCCAGAGCAGATCTTTTATCGGCCTGCTAAAAGAGCCATGTTTTTAAGCAGGGTTGGAGCCATATGGAGACCAGGGAGAACATAGGTACAGCTGCAGAGAAAACATCTCTCCTAGATGTCACTGGATGACAATGCTTTTACACCTGGTATCAATTGTTTGGTTTTGATGCTTTAGGACAGTGTTGGTGAACCTTTTCGGCACCCAGTGCCGAAACGGGAGCACGCGTGCAAGGGAGCGCCAGAAACCCAAAGAGCAGCTTCCCGGCATGCATGTGTGTGCCAGGAAGCTGAGCTTTAGGTTTCCAGCATGCATGTGCATGCCGGTCACCTGGTCTTCTAGTTTCTGGCATGCATGCGCATGTGAAGACCAGCTGGCTGACATTCATGTGCATGCCTGAATCTGGAAGAGCAACGGCCAACGGCTGGATGAGAGATGGCTCTGCGTGCCAGTTCCGGCACATGTGCCATAGGTTCGCTATCACTGTTTTAGGTGTACACTCATTGGCATTGGTGGCTATGGAGATCAAATAAAGGTGAAGTATGCCAACCTCTACTTAGTCTGATAGTAGGCAATGAGAGCAGAAAGGTAGACATGTAGGTAAACAGGCAAAAGGGACCAATCACACCAGAGAACCCACCACTAGCCAGGCAGTTCACAAAGCTGTGATGTGACATGGACAATCATGGAAACTTCCCAACTAACTCATTAGCTACATTTTGGCCAAGTAGCTTATGAGTGATCTTTAAGAGTAGTCTAGTGCAACAGTCCCCACACTTTTTGGCACGGGGAAGGGAAGGTTTCAGTTTCACTTGCTCGCTCACCCGCCGCTCGCCTCCAGCTGTGCGGCCCGGTTCCTAACGGTACTGGTTTGTGTCCCGGGGATTGGGGACCTCTGATCTAGTGCACATTGCAATAGTCCAAGCAGGAGGTGATTCAGCCATGAATAACTTGTGTGAAAGGCCTTACCTTACAATCCAGGGTTCTTTTTCATTTAAAAATAATAATAAAGATAATTAGCATGCTGCAAACCAAAGCAGCAGCCTGAGATGCTCTTATTTCTCATAATGCTACTTCATTTGTGTTGGGACCAAGTAGATTATTTTGATGTTCCTTAAGAAACCATGGAAATAGATTCTATAGGGAATTGTAAGATCTTTTTCGGCTACAACAACCAGATCTTTTCCCAATTTGAAATTATACAGATAGTCCTAAACTCATGATTACAATTGAGCCCAATATTTCTGTTGCTAAGCTAGGTGTGTTGTTAAGTGAGTTGTTAAGTCAGAAGGATCATTTGTTCAGTACCATCATAGCTAAATGAGTGGTTAGGACGTAACTTTTTCCAATGACATAGTGTTCAATAACTATTTAACTTGAAAAAAAGTTAGCATGTCTCTGCATTAAATAAAAGATAAAGCTTTATGTTGATGAGACAAAGTTTCAACTTGAATACCACTTTTTTCAGTTTAGAAATCTTTTTACCGGATTATTGTATAGGGGATACTAAAGCTTTGTTTTTTTTAAATATTCTTCAAAAACAAATTTGTTTAAGATTCAACGTAATTTTAGACACTATTCCTCATTTGTTACTAGGGAGTCAAGTAACTAGTTCAATTTGAAGAACAATCTTCTAGCTGAACTAGCTCTTTGTAGTAATAATAATTGGTAACTGCTCCAGGTTAGTCTTATATTATTAGCTGTCATTCTTACTGTTATATGAAATACACATTCCAACATATATACAGCTTATCTCCAGAATCCAACTGAGTGAGGTATTTTGATGGTTCTTTTCTTCCAGTCATCACAGACCCATCGCTACTCTTAGAAAATAAAAATAATAGCCAGTTGTACTGGTTGATGCTTTGCCATGAAATTTATTCACCTACCTATAAAAAAGTCAGATGTATGCAGAAATGGTAGATGGTGCTTTAAGAATTATATGGAGATGTTGGAAAACAATTTCATACTTTCAAAATTTCTGAAGTATGTTTACCCTAAAAATGTTTGGAAATCCTGTTGTACATATTATTCACTGTAGAGCTCCTTTGTTGATGAGACATCCTTTTTATGGCATTTTATGCCTTCCTATTTATTTCATTGTACATTGCAAGCTTTCACATGTTTTCCTAATCCTAGTGCAGAAGAAACACTGAATCTCAACTGCTCCACTGAATTTAAAGTCTTATCAAACTGACACCTGGATAAGGAGTTAGCCATGACCCAGTAATAGCTAACTATTGCTAAGTGAATTCAGGAAAAGCATTGGGAAACCAGTTGAGAAAGGAATAGCTGGAAAACACTGCTTAAGCCAGTAGCACATTCTCAGTTCTCAAAGCTTTGAATGATTGACCACACCAACTTGCTTTGTGATCCTACTTGCTGGTATTTTGAAGCGAGCTGCCTTGTAATTCACCCCCCCCCCCTTTTCCATTTGTAAAGATTGAACTCTTTTTTTTATATACCATGTTAGCTGTGTAATTTGTATACAGTTTCATGGCTAACTTTTAATGTAGTGATTACACTATACTTTCTTGATGTGCAGGTTAAAGATGAAGGTGAGATGAGAAAACTCCAAGAGCTCCATAATATTGTTTACAACCAGGCTTGTAGCTGGTTTCAAAGCTTAAGAAATAAATTTCATAGCCAAATACTTCAGTACTTTGGTCCAATGCCAGAGAAGGAAGAAAACTTGCAGGTACTTAGCGACTATAGTATCAGACAATTGCCAGTGTGACCTTCACTTGTTTTTCTAGTAGAGTTATACAGTAACTAAATTAACAGATTTAAGGAAGGTGAGACAAAAAAAGGAAGTGCAAAAACTAGAGAGGCTGCATAACTGAAAAAGCAGGGGGGGAATCCAGCTTGGATTAATTCTGACTTTTTAAAAAGTTAGATCTGGAATTTTGCTGACTACATTTAGCCTAGCATTTTAAACACCCTTGTTTTTTTTAAGTGTGCTAAGTAGTTTACTTCTGCCTTTTATGAAAAATTATAGTCAAGAGAACTGTTATTTTTTTATGTTTAGGAAATATTTTCATTTTAAACTCAATTACATAACCACATCATTATATTATTTTTGTCCTAAATTTTAATCTTGTTTTATTTCCTTTTAATTTGGTTTGTTTTAGGAAACCGCTGATGGACCTGCCTGGTGTTGGTGGCTTCTAGCTGTTCTTCCTGTGGATCCTAAATATCAGCTTTCAGTGCTTTCTATGAAGTCTTTGAGAGAACGCTTGATAAAAATTCAAGCTATATTAACCTATTTTTCCAGAGACCAGTCCAAATAATTAATTACCAGGACCTTAATATAACAGTATGGCTGTAACTTCAGCTGATGTTTTTTCTTGCAGAATTTGCACTTTTAGTCCTGATTTGAGAACTATTAGGAATTTTTTTTTCCTATATCAATAGTTGTTCAATTAGAAGGATGCCATTAATATTGCACGTACGCAATCTAGCAGCAAAATATTTATTTGCACTATATACAAATGGAATGTATCATATTGTCAAATTTTTCCACTGACTACTATGGTGGAAAGCGCAAGATTTAAAATTTGTCAGTTCAGGTTTACAGTATTAAAGATGAATTCAAAATCTTGCAAATCAGAAGTTGCCTCAGCTACAGCAGCACCTTGTTGCTATTTGCACAATTATTTAAATGTATTGTCAATTTGTAGAGCAAAGTTCTGCTTTAAGTATTTAATTGTAAATTTGGCACAATTTTATTGTGAAATTATTACATGAATTTGGAGCCATATTAAAGAACAGTTGAAAAATACTTCCAAGAAGCTGTTGCCACCGTGACTGTGTTACATATATTGTGTGACTAAAATTAGACATAGATGACTACTAGTATATGTTATTTGGAATCAATTAAAAGGTTAAATGATCTATTCAGTATATAACAAAATTAAGCAGACATAGCAACACTGTTGGGCCCTGATGATGAAACTTTTAACAGGCTTCATGGATTCCCATTGAGAGGAAAAGCGTCTCAGGAAAAGGTCTCCTCTCTTGACCTCGCTTCTCTAAGAATTAATTTATCTACATCTGTTTCATGTCTGATGAAGCCTTCATAGTTGGAGCATGAGAGACAGTCAAGTGAGCTGTATAATTTTGAAGTAACAACCCCCTTTTTAATATTTTCTAAATGTTAGAAAGTACTAACGTTGGTGGTACTGGGACATTTTCACAGTCAGATTTCTTCCTCCGTTTGGATCTTTTTCTCCCAACTTTGGATGGAAAAAATCTATATTATCCAATACCTTCTGGAATATGTCTTCTCTTAAAACCCTAGGTTCGCAGTAACAAAAACCATTTTTAAATTTACATATCAAATTACGTACAAAGTCTGCATTTTGAAAAATAATCAGTAATATTTTTGAATTGTTGCTGTGTCACTGTACTTTTAAATATAAGATGTTCATATTTGGGAACTACTGAAGTGGGATTCTTAAAAATTAATTTCTGGAACACAAGAAGTTTGAAAATGCAGATTTCCATGCCTTATTCATATCAAACTGTACTGCAATACAGATGACGGCAGTCTGCTTGCCAATAGGTTCATTTTGTAGTTTCTCAAATGTCTGTCTTGATTGTGATTCATTTTACAAAGTTATTTGTTAAAAATCTTGCTTTTGCTAATATTTAATTTTCAATAAACTTAAAATTTATATTTTTAATTGTGATCAGAATTCTTAATACTTTGGGAGATTTTAAGCATTTACAATGCCTTCTAGAACTTGGGTAAAAGTTTCAATTACATCAGCATGGCATTGAATTATTTTGATGTCTGGGACAAAACAATTGTTTCACTCTGTTCAAATAAGTTTTTCTGACTAACACTAATTAATGTATTTTGGAAACTTTCAAATTAGGGATTATTAAAACTGAACATTAAATGCACCAATAGTTCATGCCATCAAAACGAATGGTTTTTGGAATAAATTATTAGATGAAATCTAATGTAAAGAAGGCAAGTTAGATACATACATCTATATATCTACGTCTCCCATTTTTTGACCTGGAGTTTCATTTTTACACATGTAGCAGCAGCATTGAAAGGTTGCTTGGCTGGCTCAACATCGCTGTATATTCCCCGTTTTAGCCCAGCAGCTCAACTGCTGTATAGAAACTTTGCAAGGAATGCTTTTGTATGAATAATTGACAGGTATTGTTTTTAATTTGTAGTTGATGGGTGGAACAGCATATAATTCTATTATATGCTGTTTCTATTCTATTAATATTAATTAATAGAATATTAATATTCTATTCTATTAAGAATAAGTAGAATATGTAATTATAAAATGTCTAATATTGTTAAGTTTTGTATTCCCTTGAAGATGCATCTTCCCATTTTAAGGTAAAGGTTAATTGAATTTAAAAGTCATATGCCTAACTTCAGTTGTGGCCAAATGACAGATCTGCATATAACTGCCTAAAAAGATGAGTAGTGCCATACACCAAGCATTCTGTAGTTTTTCTGTGTGCTATTAAGCAAAATGAAGTCATGCCTCCTGGAGAGTCAAGGGTGCTTCACTAGATGTTCTCAAGCAAGTCAGCCATTTGCCTGAAATAGTAGAATACTTGCACCACCCAGACAGCTAGACTGGAAGACCTTCAATGTTCATTTCAACTCTCTAATCTTACATAGTGATACAAGTGAATCTTAGAAAAGCTAAAGTAAAATAACAAGGATGACAGAAGCCCTATATGGGCATAGATATTGTCTCTGCATGAAGATAGGTGTCCGAGTTAGAAACCAAATAGGTACATGTGTCAGTATATTGGCCTTGAAATTAACCTTGAAATTCAATGCTGCCTTTAGTGTGACTTACTTTCAACTCAATTGGTTTAAGCAATAATATGGTAGTCAGTTTGTAATTGATAAACACATTGTCAACATGCTGGCCGTGATATAAAAAAAAATCAGTTCTGCCCAAGATATTGACTCCAGGATGCATACAGTTCATCAAGAAGCCTTATGTAGCATCCTGGCATTTTTCAAAGCCGAATCTTCATAGTTGCCAAGTTCATTGCCATCACCATTAGCCATCAAACAACTGGTGCGTCAGGTATTTCTGTAAGGTCTACAATGGTAAGTTGCCTGTGGCCTTTATAACTTAAAAGTTACAAAGGCTTGCTCAAAGCTATCTGAAGGTCAACGGTTAATTAGCTTTATATATTATCAGCTTTGTATTTAAAGCCAATTATAGGAAAAGCTTTGGTAAGAACCTTCCCTACAAAAAGTACTTTTAACATCTTGAATAACTTGTCTTATATATTTGATTTCATAGTGGGTCACATTCTAGAACAAAAGCAAATTGGTCCATTTACTAATGGCATTGCTATCTTTAATATAAATTTTAGGAGAATCACCATATGGCATATTCTGTACAGGGTTACAAGTCGACACAGGTAATATTTCTCTTTTAATAACCAGTCATGATGGGTCAGTAAGATCTATTCTACCTCAATGCACATAACTGCTTTCAAGTTACATTGGGCTAGAAATACAAGATTAGTTGTTTACAATAAGCTTAGAACACAAAAGGGCACCTGTCCACTCTTTATCATAAAATAGATTAGGAACAGTTTCCCATTAGTACTTATACTTGGAATGATATGCCATCCAATTCTGGAAATTGAAATGAAACCGTGGCTTTAGAATTCATCTATAAAGTATATTCTCTCATCTTTTTGTCAGCCTGTTTTAGGGAGATCCATGTATTCAGAATGTTGGATCGCAGTTTGGCCCATACACAGTGGTCATTCAACCCAAAAATCTGAGCAGCAAATTGGGCAGCAGCTTCGGGTGAAAGAATTGTGGAACAGCCAAGACCTGTTAAAAAACAAGAAAAATTTTAATTTTTAAAATGTGTGATTGTAATAGCATTGCCATTAGATAATCCTTAGTGTGTCAAGAAAAACTGAAATGTAATATAGAATGTTTAACAATTAAGATGAATGTGGAAGACAAGATACCAAAATTTCTCTTCAGAACTGAAACTTGTTCAAGATAGAGAAGGAGCATAACTTTTTAGAAAGTTAATGTTTACAGAGTTTAACAGAGCATGTTCCTTTGGCCAAGTCTGCACCAGGGTTGTGCAAGCTAAGCATGAGCAAACCTAGATAAAGTTTGGAAGCAACACCCCCCCCCCCCAATACTGCATGAAATTTGTACAAGCGAAGCCTCAAGTGTGTTCAAGATACTTCTTTTATCTGTGCATCTGCCTCAGTGGACCAATTGCTGAAAAATAACTAAGCCCATGGAGTCCCCCGATTGCTATCGTGTGGTAACTGGGAGAGTCAACGTATCCAACAGTCTCTGAGAGTACACAGGTAGTCCCCAACTTACAACCATCATTTAAAGACCATTCAAAATGACAAAAACTGAACTTACGGCTGGTCCTCACAATCACAACCCATTGCAGCATGCCTGCAGTCATATCAGGACTTGCCAAGCGGCATGAATTTATGTTTGCAGCATCCCAGGGTCATGTGATCACCATTTACAACCTTTCCAGGAGTCTCCCAGCAAATCCAGGTGTAATGGGGGAAGCTGTAATTACTTACTGATTTGCTGAACGACCAGGGCAGGGCACAAAAAGGTAATATCAGGCATGATTCTACCCACTGAATGACCACATCACTCAGCAATGGAAGTTCTGGTTCCACCCATAGTTGTACGTTGAATCCTACTTGTAGGCGTTGCTGAGTTATCACAGTTTCTACCTTTTACCTTTAATGCATCTTTCCATCTATTATCTTTGTTGGGCGGTAAGAGAAAAGCTAAAAAATAACCAGTCTAATCATAATGCTGACAAACGTTAAGCACTGCCCAGGAAAGTATGAAGGAGGTTAAATTTATAGAATAAATGATATATTCATGTCTTTCAGAGAGCCGAGGTGGCGCAGTGGTTAGAGTGCAGTACTGCAGGCCACTTCAGCTGACTGCTATCTGCAGTTCGGCGGTTCAAATCTCACGGGCTCAGGCGTAGACTCAGCCTTCCATCCTTCCGAGGTGGGTGAAATGAGGACCCAGACTGTGGGGGCAATATGCTGACTCTGTAAACCACTTAGAGAGGGCTGAAAGCCCTATGAAGCTATGAAACCCCAAAAGTCACAGAA